GTTTCACGAGAAAATATTGGAATATCAATTTATGGTGGCATATTTAAGGATAATTTAGGAACATTCTTGAGAGTTTTCTCATTTAAGATTTGACTTTGCACCTCCTTTCAACCTAAATTGCATGTAATCATGTTTGCTATTAAATATGTTAACATAATAAATTCATAATTTTTTGACTTGAAGTAGACACAATATTGATCCTTCGTACATTTTGTAATGCGAATATTATTTATAAATATCTTTTAGTTAAATAAAATAATAATTTATACATTATATATTCTTTTAGATACAATACATGCTATTAATTAATATTGATTTTTTTTTTTTGATTATGACACTTAGTGATATTTACTTCCTAAGTGTGCTTTTGAAAAAAAAATGAAAATGACAAGCTATTGTATTTGTTAACCGTTTGATAGATTAGGTTTTATATTTCAATCCTTTTTGTTTTTCTATTCAATAATTTGTATTTATTAAAAAAAAACTAAATTAACTTATTAAGTGTTACCAAAGTCAGCAAATTTAATTTAAAATGACGTAATCCTTTCCCGATAAAATTTCTTTAAAATAGGAGAAGAGTTAAAGTAATTAATTTAAAAATAGTTGATATAAACTTGAATGATGTATAATTTGTAATACAAGTAGCAAAATTTTGGACTTTTCTAAAATAACATAGTGTTAAGAAAAAAAATTTAAAAAAAGAAAGATGTTAATATTTAATTATATAAAAAAAATGCAAATCTGATATGATTAATCAAGGACCTTGAACTCAAAAGTTCTTCTATTGGGAGTTTCGTGGAACCTTCTTTTATATGTATATTATTACAACAAAATTGAGAAAGGGTATAGCAGTCAAACCCTCAAAGAAACTCTCACCAAACCCTTATTGAAGCTGAAAGGAGTAGCAAATATATATTTTGTCTCGTGTATGAATACTTTTCCAAACCAAATATAATTAAAATAAAAGAGATCTTTTATTTGGAAAATAAGAAAGCAAAATAATAATAATAATAATAATAATAATAATAATAATAATAATAATAATAATAATAATAATAATAATAATAATAATAATAATAATAATAATAATGATGATGATGATGATGACGACGATGATAAATGACATTTTTTTATAAAAAAATATCGTACAAAATTTTTATTTCTAAAAGAAAAAAGAATATTTTTTAATTCAAAAAATATTTCTACGATTTTAAAAAATAAATTGAATAGTAAAAAATAAATTTGTTTTCTTGAAAAAAATGGTCAATACATATTTTAAAACTAGAGACAGTATCGGTGCTATTTTAACAATCTTCATGAGAGACCACAGAGTAATTTTCCATTTCTATTTTAATTTCTAAAACAGAATAATCTTTAAAAAAAAAAATGTTAAAAAAATATCTATAAATACAAACTCATTATAAACTAGTTTATAAATATAATTGACTATAAATCGTTTATAAATATAAATTGATTTTAAATCAATTTCAATTGACCTAAAACCACTTTAACCAGTAATGATTATATTAATGTCTCTGTTTTTTATTATAAATTATTTTTTAATTTTTATACATATTAAAAAATATAATAATTATGTTATAGAAAAGAAAAATTATAAAAAGTTTTATAAAATAGTCATTTATTAATAATATTGGAAAACAAATTTACATAATTGAAAGAAGGAAGTATAATAAATATTTAAAAATATAATAAAAAATATTAATAATTTATTAATATTATAGATATAATAAAAAATGTTAATAATTTATTAATATTATAAAACGATTTATATTATAGTACAAAATATTTTTTTAAAATAAATTATAAAATAAGTTATAATAAAAAACAGAGGTAGTAGTTATTAAAAACTGAACCAAATAATTAATGTGGTTTGATTAACCTAATTCATAAACCGTATGAATACTCCAACTAGAGACATGGTTATTGGAATATACTAAAAAATTAAGTTGATAAAACGTGGGGTGCTACATATTCCTGAAAAATACGACACATTATTTGTGTAAATAATCGAATGTATCAATATTTTCTTGTATCAATATTTTTGTAGACCACAAGTTTGTGTTTAGTAGGATGATTTTTTTTTTCTATAAATAATATTCTCTTCATTCCACAATAAACGATTTGGCGAACCATTTCACACATATTAAGAAAAATGATATTAAAAGTGAGAATAATATTTTTATTAAAGTACTTTTAACATGTACTATCTCTCTTTCAAATTATAAGTCACTTTATTAAAAAAAATTGTCTCAAATTATAAGTCCTGTTACATTTCCATTGCAATATTAATAACATTTTCCTCCATATATCCTCGAGTATTTATTATTATTTATTCTTTTATTTTTTTAAATTTTTTTCTCATATGTAATTACGAGGAGTATTACTGTAAAGTCATACATAATTTGCTTTTTTCATAAAGTAATAATTAAGTTTCTTAATTCGTTTGAAATGCCCAAAACGTCTTATAATTTGTGACAGAGATAGTATTAGAAATGATGAAAGTAATACTACAATTAGAAGATAAATTAGAAAAGATGCATTGAAAATTGAAATTGATCATTCATTTTATACTCTTTTATTATAAATAATTATACACATCACATTAATCCGTCGATCAAATTATTTTACATATTTTTTTATTTTATTTCTTTTTTATACATTTATTAATTTAATAACTTAAAATTTACTCTCATTTAATTTAACACACTCTAAAGTAATTAATGAGTCTTTAACTAAGAAAGAGAATACACATCTAAACATAATGGTTTAAAGGAAAGAAAATCACTTTTGAAAATTATTCGTCCATCATCAGTTTTTTTAATGATAAAATTATATGAGAAAATTATATATAAGTAAAAATAGTACAAATTCTACAACATATAACACCGAAATATAAATATCACAAGGAACACCAAAAAAGAAGGGAAAAAAACTCTGAAAAGCAAAACAACAAAAAGCACCCTAAAAGAATCGAAACCCTAGAGAATACCCACCTGACAAAACAATACCCGTCGAGACCTAGCTAGATCCATCATCATCGAACCAAAAGACAAAGCAACACCAAGACCGTTAATTACCTCTAAAGTAGGTTAAAACTCTTGATTCACAATTGATTCGAACACAAGATAAGGTTATGAAGGCATACAGATAAGGAGGATGAGGTCATTAAGTACCTGTTAAGAAACCAATTCCAAGAAAAAAAATATATTTTCTCCACCTTTTGCACATTTATTGACTTACTAGATACAAGAGATCCACCTGAGGTCAACAATGACCTTCTGTTTGAATATGTCACTCTAGACGGAAACCTATCTTAACGACGACCTTAGAGGGAGCCAAAATCTCTCAAACAAAATGAAGGATAAGATTCACTAGAAATAGGATCCTTAGAGAAAGGGCAGATAGTTGTTGGGACTAGATAAGCAGACACCAAGGAGAAACAACAATCTCTTAAATGGCTCTAAAACTACGTATCACTTTCCTCACTAAACTGAAAAGATTGGAAAACTGAGAAGATTTCATAAATCAAAAGTTCTTCATGGACAAAGAAATGTCTCCTCCGTCTAAGATCCTAAGAAATTCTCTCCTCAACCTGCCTACCCATCTCACCCATTGTCCCATCCTAAAACTGAGATATGGTGAAAAGTATTTGAAACCTAATCTCGAGAAGAGTACTCTCTATCTAAGAGTCTTTACAAAAACAAGTCAGAAGACCAAACCTACTTCTTAACTAACCCTACCTCTTTAACTAACCCTATCTCAAACCAATTAGAAGAATCATCCTTTTTAGATCCCAAAAGTGACACACCTTTTCACTACGAGGAAATATAACAGTATCATAAGAACCAACCTTCATTTTGGAGTAGATATAAAAATAGAAGACCCCATATCTAACATTGAGGAATATCAAACCAAGACCTAAAACATCTGACCACAAAAATCTCAATTTCCATTTGACTAAGACTACTAGATTAACCATCTAAAAATCTTTAACACTTAAATCACATTCTTTTTAGATATGCAACCATCTCACAAAACCACAACAACAAAGATTTAGTCACGTCTAACAATTTTATCATATGTTATATAAGTCATAAAATTAATATTACAAATTACAAAATGTTTAAAATTTGAAAGAAAAAAAAACGTACATATCATTCATGAGTAACTATGAAGATTTAGCAACTATGTTACATATTATTCCAACGGTGTCAAACTATCTAGATAATTTTACAAAGCACCTCAGAAAATAAAATAAAATTATGACATCATAATGGTATCAAAACCATTAGTGAAAAAATTAATAAAATTTAATTGATAATTGCCACTAGTGTGTTACCACTTAATTAAATATAAATTTATTTATTTTACAATAGTTTAATTATTCACTTTTAAATTATTCTAATAACGATTTAAAAAAAACGATTGAGTAAAGATTTTCACAATTTTGGTCAACACATGTGTTACGATATTGATCGCGGTTGTCGCAGTGCGGATTAATCACAATTTCCTCTTTAATATGAAAAATAGTGATAACAATATTAACATTAACATCGGTCAAGAACCGACATACGTTACGCTGTTATACGTTTTGTTGCGCCGTTTTTTTGGTAACTTACAGTTTTTTAAAACCTATTCTAATCTTTTAATCAATAGATAAAAGAATAATTTATTTTAGCATATAGTTATGAATTTATCCATTTTAAAGCCTAATAAAAAAAAGGAAAGTGTGGGGATTACGTAACCAAAAACCCTGGCTAGTAAATACCATGAATGTAGAACAAATACTACCAATTTAGCTTACATCTTCCCACGCTCTCTTAACCTATTGGCTCTATCACTGACTTTTACAATTTCTTAGTGTCCCCAAATTTGTTATATATAACCATGCTACTGAGGTTTCATATTTTCACTCTATATTGAGAAAAAAACAGAGCAACTCTGTTTTTCTCTGTTCTCTTCACATTCACGCACTTAAAATGGCTTATTCCTCCAATTTCTTTTCACAAGATTCATTCAGTTTGAATCCAAAAACCCACCACGAGTTTCTCCCCTTCAACGAAAACGACCCAGAAGAGATGCTTCTATACGGCATGATAACCCAATCACAACAACCACAACAAAAATTAATCACTAGTAGCAAAGAGACAACATTAAAAAGCAACAAAGAGAAGAACACCAAGTCCTACCGCGGCGTCCGACGGAGGCCGTGGGGGAAATTCGCGGCGGAGATACGAGATTCAACTCGGCATGGCATAAGGGTCTGGCTTGGAACATTTGACAGTGCTGAAGCAGCGGCACTTGCTTATGATCAAGCTGCTTTTTCAATGAGAGGCTCAGCTGCAATACTTAATTTTCCGGTTGAGAAGGTTAGGGAATCACTTAGGGACATGAGTTATGATGATGAGTGTTGTTCTCCTGTTGTTGCTTTGAAGAGGAAGCATTCGATGAGAAGGAAAATGGATGAGAAGAAGAAGAAACATGAGAGAGATGTTGGGATTGATGATTTGGTTGTGTTTGAGGATCTTGGTGCTGAGTATTTGGAACAGTTGTTGATGTCTTATTGTTGATGTTTTATGACAATCAAGATTAGAAATACTCGGTGAATATGTAATTTGTATTCGTTAATTAAATTATATTTAATCTTTATTCGTATAATAGTGTTTATTTAATCTTTATGGTTCCGGTTAAAAATTTAATTACTTGAATGAATCAAGTTTGAATTTAACCACTTTTAGTTAAATTTACTTGCACTCTATAATTATGTGTATCAACAACAAGTTAAACACTAAATCAACATCTCATACTTTATCATCTAATTATTACTCTGTTTTAAATGACTATTGTTTTAATAAAATTTATTTTGAAATGACTATCATTATCATTTTACAATGTAGTAATTATTATAATTTTATTCTTTAATTATTATTCTGTACCCTAATTTTAATATTTTAATAAAATTAATTTAATAAAAATTTAATATTTTATAATAATATTATTACATTCTTTAATCCGATTAAAAAAATGTAACCAGCAATAATTTTAAAATAAAAAAAGTAACATATATCAAGTGAACTCCCTCTTCCATCCAACATTCTAATTTTTAAATAAGCAATTTGAGTGCAAACCTAATCTTTTCTTTTTGTAAACGCCAGTAAAAATTTTAAACAATAAAGATAATACAAACTAAAAAGAGAAACATTAAAACATAGATAAATTCGTGCATTAAAGGTGGTCCTTTGAAAATTGTTTGTTTGATCCAAAAAAAAAAGACTTTGTAAAAGATACAATAATAAAGACATTTGTTTTTTTTTTTTAATCTCATACTTCTATTCTATTGATGAAATAAGCATTAACAGACATGTAGAGACATAATTGTAAAAGACAATTTTTTTTCCGTTAAATCTCAGTGTCAATTCTTCCCGAGCTATATCTATGAAAGATTTATATGTTTCCAAGAAAGGTCTTCCTAATAATAATAGTGTTTCTGAATCCTCAGGCATGTCAAGAATTACATAATCAGTTGGAAATAATAACTCATAAACTCTAACAAAGACATCTTCCAATACTCCATATGGATACATGATTGAATGATTAGCTAGAATGAATGTCTTCTGTGTCAGTTTTGGTTCACCACATTTCAACTTCCTCATCATGAATAAAGACATCAGGTTAATGTTAGCTCCTAAATCACACAATGCATGATCGATGGTTAGTGAACCAATTGAATAAGGAATAGTAAACCTACCTGAATCAGTGAGTCTTGGTGGAAGCTTCCTCTAGATGATTACATTGCACTCTTTCGCTAAAGCAATGTTTTCATCATGCTTTAACTTTCGCTTTTTCGATAAAAGATCTTTCATAAACTTTGCATAAACAGACATATGCTCAAGGTCTTCACAAAATGGAATGTTGACTTGTATCTTGTTCAACATTTCCATAAATTTCTTAAACTGACTGACTTTCTTTTTCTTTTTGGGTGTCTTTTTCAAAATCGGGTAAGGTGGTTTTATGTAGCATGTAGCTCAGGGTTTGACTCAGTTAATATCCATTTCTTTGTTATTCTGAAGGGTGAATTTTTATCAATGAATTTGTCAAGGGTGTACCCCTTTTCCTCATCTTCACTCTCATGCTCACTTTTTTCTCCCTCAAAATTTTTCTCAACTTTTCCTCAACTACCACCTCTTTTCCTTTCATCTTTTTACCATTTGGAGGTTCGGAAGGCACCACTTTATCGCTCAACTCGATGGTTTTACACGTTTCATTTTTTCAGGTTATCTACAACATAAGCTTTAAATACCCCACTTGAACTAGCTTCAGCTGCCATTTGACAAGACAATTGATCGACTTCTTGTTCATCAGGATCTAATTTTGTGCCATCTCTTGTTGATATTAGGTCATGTTTTCTTGATTTGAATTTACCTTCACGAAGCTCTCCAAAGGGGACTTCATGAAATTTTGCAGTGCTTCTTCAAAAGGTGATGGCTTGCGTTGAGGTGCTTGAGAGGCTAGTTGAACTCCTTGATTAGCATTCACGGTCTGATTGTTGCTCCACCAGATGTTCGAATGATATTTCTAACCCGGATTGTAGGTATTAGAATAAGGATTATTCTTATGAAAAATACCATATTGAATTTATGCACTCTCAACTTCTATATTACAATTAATTGACATGTTCTCCTCCATAGGAATCACAACAAAGCACTTGAATCTGACTCACATTATCTTGAGCTAGTTGGGCTGCAACTAACTATTTGGTAAAGGTTTCTATCTGAGTAGATAAAATTATGACCGAATCAACTTAATGGTTACCCTTTTGTTTCATTGCGTGCTCTCTTGAATGGTACTCATTTTGAGACATGTTTTGAGTTAGTGTTTTCAAATCTTTATAAGTTTTTAATCTCAATGAACCTCCAACTGAGGCATCGAGAAACATTCGGGTATGTGTTCTCAACCCATCGGTGAAATGTGTCATCTGCTCTATAGAACTCATGTTGTGATTTAGAAACTTTCAGAGTAACAACTTGAACCTTTCCCGCGCATCAGATAGTGACTCTGCCTCTTCTTGAGAAAAATTGGTAGTTATAGCTTTTCTTTCCACAAAGTGAACGTTGGAATAATACCTCTCTAGAAACTTATCTTCGAGCTCTTTTCAACTAATCTTTTGTGCGACCTATCAAGGAAAAACCAAACAAACATAATTTTACCTCATCATCGGTAGTGTCACTGACCGACTTACACATCGAGCAAGTCTCGTAAAATTTAGCAAGATACTCCCAAGGATCTCTAATTACTTGCCTTTCGAACGAGTTTTCCTTTTAACCGTGAGAAAAAAATTTGATGTCAAAGATTACCAAAATAGCCAGTTGAAATCCTAAACAAATATGGTCGGAGTCGGTCCTCCTGCAATACTCCCCCAACATTTGACGTGATGGAGTGGCCATCTCTAATTTTTCTTCTTCTACTTCTTCGGTAGCTTAAAATGCTTCTCTTTTTGCTTTGCAAAGTGTATGCATTGTTCTTTCGATTTCTGGATCAATCGATATCAACATCGTGTTGGCACCTCGCATAAACAAACAATAAATACCTTAGTAGCACCGCACCAAATAACACACAAGTAGAGAAATAAAATAAAATTGAAATTAATAACAATAGAAAATGAAATTTATAACTAAAATTAGAAATTGAAAAAATTAAAATGAAAATAGAATTTAAAACAAACTAATAAAAAACTAAAATTGTCACATTAAATTGCCTTGTTAAAAATCAACAATCCTCGACAGTGGCACCAAAAAACTTGATGACAAAACTAACAAGTTTACTAGTATGCATCGAAGTAATAAAATACGATTCGTATCCACGAGGATTAGATTTGACAAGGTAATGAGTGTTATATTAAGTAATCAAATAGGGGTGAGGGTTATTTGAAAATTGTTTGTTTGATCCTAAAACAAGAGAAAATTGACTTTGGAAAAGATACGATGATAAAGGTGATTGGGTCTTTTTGTTAGAATCCCCTACTTCTATTATATTGATGAAATACACATTAATAGACATGTAGAGACATAAGAGTTATACGACAGATTAACTTTACCGCTGCATCCAATCCCTTGTGCAGCTCACTGGTCTATACGTTAATTCCCAGACCCCGCATACCAATTAGAACGTTAGGCTATGAACTAGAGTGCATTAATCCCTAAGTTACATTTCCTAATTAGACTATCCCTAGTCAATTACAGAATCAAACAATTATCCTATTTCTGATAAGCAGCACTACGGTAAATATGTCACTACTTACCTAGATCAGATTGCATGTTGTAACATACAATAGGCAATGAACACAAGTGAACATTGAATAATAACAATATGTCAAAGAAATAACATTCACATCAACCACTCATATGTCCCAATAGAATAAAATTAGGTTCATCATACAAAATGACTAACCTAGAAGAAATCTAGCTACTCATAGTGTAAAATAAATATGCCATAAGTTTAGATTCATAGTACATGAAAAATCATTGAAGAAAATGCTCTCCAATAGCTTTAATGGCCTCTAAAAGCACCTAAATCGCCCCTTGCCATCATTTCATTATAGGAATTAGGAACCCTTAAAAGGTGCCAAAAATTGCCTTTAATGAAAAAAATGTGTCAGCTAAAAAGAGGGCATTGCGTCCGCGATCGTCAGCATTGCGCCGCGATGCAAGCCTCATCGTGTCGCAATGAGATGCATCAGGCGTGCAATAATTCTAGAAGAGAATCTCACGTTTCTCCAATTTTTCTTCACAAATTTCACTAAATATTTGTACATTCCTAGTATTGACTTTTTCCTCATTCTTCGCACTTTCACATGGTTTTTGACCATTGCTCATCTGAATTTACCTGAATTTCTTCATAAAATTTACGTAATGATGACTGTCATCACCTCCTATCCAAACAAACAACATCTCCACTGCCAACATCCATCACTCACACCCACCCCAACTGACATATCTAAGTCAATGATACCTATTTACATTATGAAAGTTGGGATGAAATTATTCCATACAACTTTAGAAGAAATTATTGTAGCAGACTTCACATGTTGAGAAAATGTTTGATAAAAATTTTAGATATGGTATTCACCATCGACATTGAGTTTTATGTCCACATATCTAGATTATTTTTTCAAAATATGATGGCCATCAAGGATCAAAAATCTAAAAGGATGTCTTTTCCTAGCCCAACAAACAACATCTCCATCACCAACATCCATCATTCGTGCCCCACCTCAACCAACACATATAACTCAATAACGCCTCTTTATATTAAGAAAGATCACACAACCTGTTGAACCTCTCTTCAAACACTCATACCTCAACTCGAAAGTCCCTCCAAAAGAACCTTTTTTCCCTTTTCCACCAAACAAAACAAAAATAATTTTCAAACCACTTCTTCCGCCCATAATCGCTCCTTGATTTTAAAAAAAAAACCTTACCAATAGGGTTGAGAGACCGTTTGCCCAAAATATTATAAAGAGAATTTAACTTTCCTTGTATTACTTAAATTATTCAAGAAGATTCTCATTTAT